GGAGGGGAGGGGAGGGGAGGGGAAGACAGAAAGAACTGTATGTAATAGAAGGGGCTGGAATATAAAAAAAATCTGTAAAAGGAAAAAATTGAAAGTATCTTCTGAGAACAGAAAGACTGCTGCCTCAAATGCCAGCAGATTCAGTTAGAATCGCATGAATGCAGCTTTCCACAACACAAAAGCAAAACATTTTTTATGGGCTTACTAGGGGCCAAACCACCGCTGCTCCCATTATTTATGGATTTGGATGGTCCTGAACACAAAGGAACTGATTCAATCCTACAGCACAAAAGGTAGGCTTCATAGCACCCACATGAAGGTCAGTGCCATGTATGTGCCACGACACACTGCTCCAATGGCTACCTTGTGCATTACAAAAGGTGAGTAGCTTGGGAAGTGGTGGACTGGTGTCCGGTGTTAGATTAGCAAGACCTTCATGCCTTTTAGTGAAATAGCGAGCAAACCCCACGGGCTTTGTAGCCTTAGCAGCAGTAACATTCACAAAGCATCCTGAGAGAAAAACATCTTTCTCCCTCCAGCACACGCAGACTCTCAGGCTAGTTATGCACTATTGCATTCTCATCCTCTAAATTCAAGCCAGTGCAAATTAATGCTGACTGAAGTGCTATTGGCAGTAGTGGCTGTCAAAATCCTGCTGCCAGATGGCTGGTACAGGGCATGAGCCAATAAATTCCATTTATCTCCCAGAAGGTGAATTCTGAAGACTCTTAGTCATACAATTTTCCCTACAGGAAAACTTTCTCTCTTTCTGGTGCCATTTTTCAAAAAATGCACCAGGTTTACAATGTACAGGGCGTAGAATGGCTTTGAGACCTCTAGTTCTGCCAGAACAGTCAATGGAGCTGATTCTCCAACTTGCTGCATTTTCACGTTGTCGCTTGCCCCTTTGCAAAGCTGTGGGAAAATGCAGCCTCTCATTTGCTAGAAGTTTCCATACACTTTGCACACATGGAAGTGACTACAGGAGAGGCAAAATGATGAAAAATGTGGCCTTGGGGAGTCCATCCCAAAACAAAACTGCCCTTTTTCCTTAATGTCATTATAATGTGAACTCTTCCTTAATTTTATTCACCATTTTCCCACCTCACTGTCTTAATGGTTTTCTCAATTTTACTCAGACACAAGCACTTACAAGCTGTGATTTACTCTTTCCCCAGTGTGATCTTTCATTTTTTTACAAAATGCTCATCTAACCATTGCGCAATCAAGATTCAGCATCCTATCCCAAGTCCCATGTATCGTCAACACCTAAAAAATTGACTTATTTATTATAACTCCCTATTCTAACTGTAATTGCGATCAGTGCCAAATTAATCACATCCTCAGGGTCATTAAAGATTATGTTGAACAATGCTAGCTGGACTGAGCCATGACTCATGCTTGATAATACCTTATCTGAAAACTAATTGCTACCACCACACCATCATCTTAACCCAGCAATTCATCTCCATTATCTCAGTGGCTCTTCTGATTACCATTTGATCAAAACATCTTGCTAAAATCAAATTAACTTTCCCTACCAGCTTTTCTTTATTTTCCCAGTACCGTATGTGAAAAAAGCTGCTCAGGTGATGTTAGTCTGAGCTCAGCAAAGCTAGGTTGACTCTTGTGAGATGTTTTCCACTCCGTCCGTTTCCCATAAATGTATTCACTGGGTATGCATTCAGGTTCTTCACCTAGAGTGAAAATCTAGTTAAAAGTTTGACAAGTGTCTGAGTGGTCCATCCTTCCTTTCTTTTAAACTGAAGCATTATAATTTTCCCAGCTTTTGGGTACTGCAGCACCATTTGCAGGATTTGTCATATAATATTAGGAATGGTTCTGCTTGTTCTTTCTCCAAATCCTTCAGGCTTCTAGGATGTAGCCCTTCTGCATCTGGAGCCTCCATTGTTAACTTTGTTAAATATATGTTTACATTCTCCCTCCTGCAAATTGGTTTTACATTTTCCCCTTTGGTTTCTTGAATTGTGCTCCTAGTCCATGTCTCTTCGTGATTCTTAGCTATTAAAAGCTGAGGAGAAATATTTACATGGGAGTTTTGCCATGCCTAAGTCCTTGGTGATTGTTCTTCCTCCTCTCTCCTCTATTATTCAGAGGTCTTGTTTTATCTTTTGTTTCTCTTTTCCCCTAGATACATTTGAAAACTCTCTTCTTATTTCCCTTCACCACTCCTGCTAACAGGAGTTGATTATATTTTTAAGCTTCTCATTTTTCCCTACAGTTCTTGACTGCTATCATGTGTTTTAGATTTTTTTTAATCTCTGTCTTTTAAAATGTTTTATGCAAATCTCTTCTGTACTTATTAAACTTCCTTTTTGAAGGAGGAGGGTTTTAATGTTTTATTTGAAATTCTTCAGCTACAAAACCTACACAGAGTAATATGGTAAATAATGAAAAGTGTTTGCTACTCTTTACTTCAAAGCACAAGTTTTAACAGGAGACTCCTTAGGTCTCAAAGAAACAATTAAGAAAGTAAGTGAAAAAAATCTGAATTATTCTTAGAAAAAGTTTTCTGAAAATGTCTACAATAAGATGCAGTATGTATGGTTTTAGACATACAGAGTGAGACAGCATACACTGGCCGAGCAGACAGGCAACATGGACTAAGTGGCCAGTGGGATTCTTATTTAGCAGTAACATCATTCAGATGTATGTTCACTTAAATGCAGACTAAGACTGGCAGGAATGAGGGTAGAATCAGGCTACTGACCTAATAGGCCCATGCTAATAGAGAAGTAATGGATTTGAATTCAGCCAATTTTGGAGACAAGAGATTCGATTCGAAGATCTGGATCACCGTCCTGAATCAATTCGGCCAAATCAGCTTCAGAAGATTCGGCACTGATTTGGACAGATTCAGTGATTTGGATCAGCTGAGGAGAGGCAGGCACAGCTGGGCAGCTCCTCCAGCTGTGCCTACCTCCCCCCAGGGGGGTAAGCTGTGGGAGAAGCCCCCATGGCTGCCCTGTCCGGCCCCATCTCCCGCCCAGCCCCAGCCTAGTCCCAGCACTTTAAAAAAAAGAAAGCCCTGTAGTCACCAGCTGTAGGTGTGGTGATTCGGGCTTCTGGGCACTCATGGCAGAGCCCCCCTGAACAGCGGGGGACAGCGGGGATTGCCCCCACTGGCACCCATGCAGCAACTGCCCCATGGGTGGGTGCAGTGCAACTCAGCAGGGTGCCATGCACTGCCTGGAAGCTGGGGCTGCTGGGGCTGAGCACTGTTGGGCTCTGACAAGTGCCAGGAGGCTGGGCTGGGCAGGGAATGGGGCCAGGCAGGGCAGCCATGGCTCCTCTGGCTGTGCCTGCCTCTGTCCCGGTGTGGGGAGCCACAGGGGCTATGCCTTGCTGCTGCTTGCCCAGGCAGTGTGGGGGAGGGGGCAGAGGCACAATGCAGGTGTGGCTTGTGCCAGGCAGCAACAGGGAATAGCCCCTGCTCCCAGTGCTACTGCACCCACATCAGCACTGAGAGCAGGAGCACTGCTCTGTCACCACTTGCCAACCAGTGTGGGAGAGAAGGGCAGGATGTGGGCTCAGCAGCACTGGGAGCAGGGGCTATGCCCTGCTGCCACTTGCTCCCTTCTGCCTGGATCGAGCTGCTTCCGCATCCTGCCCCCACCGCCCCGGCTGGGAAAGCGCCGCAGGGCAGAGCCCCCACTTCCAGCACTGCCGCATCTGCAGCCTGTGCCTCCCCACCCCCCTCCCCAGGTAACGTGCCCCCTGCCCCAGCTTGGCAGCTTGTTCTAGGCCCAATCCCTCCCTCCCCCACACCTCTGCCCTCCCCACCCCAACCCCAACAGACTTACCAGTTGGAGGCAGCTGTTAGCCACCTGTCTAGTCTATGGCTGAATCTCTGAATCGGCTGAATCTTTTCCAAAGCTTTTCCAAATTGATCTGGATGCTCAACTCTAGCGCCTAATAGGGTGTTTTGTGTCGGGTTGCTCAGTTTGAAACCCAGCTGCTTACTTTACCACAATGCTATTGGTGCCATGGTAGCACCCCATCAGAATAGTTGTGCTATGCAATACACACATGGTACCAATATATACTTATTTACAAAGCTACTATCAGGATGCAGTGGGTTATGAATTTGCTGTTTGCATTGAATTCAGACAAAGTATTTAATTTATAAATGAGAGGAAAAGTTGCGATTACTGAACTAGACATTCAGAAAACTGCATTTAAATCCTTGCTTTGCTACAGCTTTCTAATGTGATCTTGGGCCAGTCTCTTATCTCTCTGTGCCTCATTACTCCATCTACCAAGTAGAGACAACATTTCCAGGCTCTTTCTTTAGGCCCTGATCCTTTTGGGTTTTACTCACATATTTAATTTGACTCACAGATAGAAGTCTTGTTGGCTTCAAAGGGTTAGCCAAAGCGTAGGAAGTCAAACATGTAAAGCATAAATCTTTCTCAGACAAAACAAAAATAATTTAATGCTAAGCATAAATTCTTTGACCCAAAAAGATTTTTTAAGCCTGTTCTTTGAATTTTAAATGGTACATCACAATTACAAGACTGGAATTGAATAACAGCATTTGGTGAAATAAAAAAGTCAATTTCCGTATACTTTGTAGTAAATGCATAAAATGCAAACCTTCCCTCATAAGCTTAATTTCCTTAATTTAACCCATCATATCACTAGCCAAGTGTTTTCTTTACAAGAAAACCAAAACAAAACAAAGCCTCAAAACGCAGATTGAATTTATTTCCCTATTATGAGAAGACATTTTATTTTTATATGGAGTCCTTAATATGCCATATCGCCAAAAGCTTCCTAGAGACTGGGTCAATCATCAATCTTCAAATTATTTAACCTTACTGTGTAATATACCATAATCTTTGCTATATTTGATACAATTTCAATTGTCCTTGGTGAGATTATATATGGTTTGTGCAGCACAAATTTAACGTTTTGCACGTTAGCCTTTAAAAATTGCCTTTCATCTACTCTGTATTGATTTTTAGTGAGTACATACACATGGTTGTAAGCATCTTTGCCAACAGCTCCTGATGAAAGGATGATGTAGGAATTCTTAGAAAGGATAGAGAAGCCCACAGATTCAAAAGTCCTGCATTCAGTTTACCATTTTCCATAAGCCCCACTGTAAGTTATTTCTTTTTATTTATTTATGATGATAGGCACTGTATAGGCACTAAGGGCTTGCTTATTATAGACTATATTTTAAAACTGATTAAAAATAAATTCTTCATGCCTGTCTGAAACTTATTCCACGGGGACTCTTGTTTCATATCAGAGCAAGTAAAAGGAT